TAAAAATTTCCCTTCCTGTTCAATGCTCAAAGATCTTAATTTCATATTAAATTTGTGACAGGGATACTTTAGGATTAAGCAAAAAAATGCTTACTATAAACTATGGATAATTAGTACAGGAGTAACACAGAGAAGTAAGTGTACTCTGACACGTCCCATGTCTCATGTATACTACAGACCTACCAGTTTCAGAGCAAAATGATTGATGAACTACGTTTGCTGATGATACGGCAATTATGGCTGTTGGTGACAACGTAATTTAATCAACAGATGTTACAGAATGTAATTGCCGAAAGTAAACAAACAAAAAGTGTATTCAATTAAATGAATGAAATCAGCACATATAAATTTTACAAAGAAAAATATTAAGCATGAACCCATACATATATACCAAACATCATATAGTTTCTTATGTCAATACGGCTAAATACCTGGGTAGGAAACTGGGGCTAAATTGAGATGAAATACATATGTTAAGAAAAAGCAAAAAGAACCCAAGTTGAAAGGATCTAGAACAAAGTACTTTGAGGCATAGTCGATGCTCTCTGATGTGTTCGTAACGATTACCTCCATAAAGACTTAAATGTAGAAACCGTCACTAAGGTAATAAAAAAACAAGCAAAAGGCTACAAAAAAAGGCTTCATTAGCACGTTAATCTAGAGATTCGTCAACTCTTAGACAATTCTAACATGATTGGATGACTTAAACAAACAAAACCATTTGATCTGACAAAGTGAATATTAAACTAAGATTCGAAAAAGTGCAGTGTTAAGTTTAAGTGTAACTTGGTATAGATTTTGTTGGTTAAGTTAGTCTAGAATTAAATTGCTTATTGGTCATATATACTAGATAGTAATAATGGAAACATTATATTGATATCACATAAAAAAAATATTTATAGAAAATGAATTCATTTGCGACAAAAATACAAAACTTGTATACAAAAACCGTACTTTAAATATCGAATTTTTACCGTCGAGTTGATAAAAATTTTATTTAAAATTGATTTCGCGAGCGTTACTGAAATTTAATATCGCCGGTATCTTTAAGTATTATTTTTGAGAGAATACTTTATTTTACACAAAAAGTGCTAATAACCATTTTTTTTTTAATTTTCTCCACTACATTTTTTAGTTGAAACATTTTTTTCTACGACTTACAGATTCTTGGTAAATCAATTTTTCCCCTGCAAGATGGAATTTTAGAGGAAAGACGAGGAGTATCATATGAGTGATAAACTTTTTAAAGTATTTTTGGGGTTCCAAATTGATATTCTCAACAAAATTCAGCTTGTTTATATGATTTTCATATGTCAAATATCTGAAGACAGGACTGAACAAACAATTAAGGAACAATCCACTGATATGTTACTTTTTCAAAAACATATATGGTACCCATTTTCTAGAACTTTGCAAGTTGGTAAAGGGTTCCAAAATCCTAAAGTGGGTATCATGAGTGAATAATAGATATACAATAAGCCAAGTTGCTGAGATATGACTGGTTTAACAGACTGCTTAAATTATATTACACATATATAAATATATAATGCTGATATTACATAATAATATAATAAATATTACACAAATATAAAGAATATATACATAAAAGTACAAAAGGGAGTAAAATTAAAGACTTATAAACAACAACATAATAAATATTTTGGAACATAAACACGTTACAGGACATTGTTCGCACAAGAAGCATGCTTAGATAAATTATATGCTAATGAAGTAGTCAAAACAAGAAGAGTTAACATGACAACTCCGTAAGTAACAATATTAGGTAAAAGTTAAATATTATTAAATATCAAATATTAAAAGTATAAGTTATTAAATATCAAAAGGGAACGACATTTATTGTCATCATTTTGGCTTTATAACTCTGTGTCGGTTCTAGCATACCCAAGAATTTTTTTCCAGTCGTCCCTATCCATCGCCTTCCTCCGCCAAGCACGTATTTCCATATTTCTCATATCTTAGTCTATGTTATCTAAGAAGCTAGTTCTGCGTCTTCCTCTTCTTCTTTGACCAATAGGTCTATCAAGGAGCGTTTTTCTAGCTGGGTCGGGTTGCTCCATCCGCATTACATGGCCTACCCACCTCTGACGTCCTATCTTAATGTGTTTTACGATATCTGGTTCCTGGTATATTCTATAGAGTTCAAAGTTGTATCGTCTTCTCCAGACACCATTTTCATTTACCGCTCCATAGATTCGCCTTAGTATTTTTCTTTCGAAACATCCTAACATGTTTTCATTGCTTTTTGTTAAAGTCCAGGTTTCTGAACCATATGTTAGGACTGGGCGTATTATTGTTTTGTAGAGTTTTACTTTTGTTTTTCTTAAAATAACTGTAGCTCTAAAAAGGAGATTAAGTCCAAAATAGCATCTATTAGCCGTGCAAATTCTGCGGTCTATCTCTGCGGTAATGTCATTTTCAGTATTGACGAGCGTTCCCAGGTACACAAATTCTTAACTGCTTCGATGACGTCGTTTTCTATAACAAGTGGCTGTAGTATTTGTGGTTGCGTATCTATTTTCATGTATTTCGTTTTACTGGTGTTTATGTTTATGGGCATTGTCTTTTTAAAGACAATGCCCAAAATAGAGCGTACCGGCTAACTACGCAATATTGCAAAATATTGCGCAATAGTTAGAGATATTAGTAAACATGAAAACTTGCACCAAGTTGCAATCATATTTTCCTACGTTTATTAATTACCCCGGAGACGACATGGCGCCCAACTCAATAACGAACATTACCACGACTCTAAGAGTTCAGAGTTCTCATGCTCCAGCGATCCAACATCGTAACAGTTCCAACACGACGCCTACATCAAAACCACTCAAGAAAACAGCGGGGAGATGCATCGGATGTTAGTACATCACACACAAACATGCCGATATCCACCTTCTGCAGCCTGAAACCGTCGATGTGCAGATATCTTCGACGAGCCACCCTACTTCGATGCTGTACCGGATGCGATGGATGTCCCGGAGTAGCCAGTCACTGCCTGTCCTACCATTATGTGGTCTAGAGTCACCACGGAGGCTCAGGTAAACTCGCCTACAACACACCGCGACAAGCAGAAGGTAACGAAATAGCTAGAATGGGACGACGCCTCCGACGAAGAGTACATCGAACGAAGATGGTTCTGCAGATGCTGTCCACATCACCGACCACCGCCTGTGAGTGTTTTGTGCGGTGCAAGTGTTTTTCTTAAGTTTTTAATAAAAATCAGCTTTTTATCAGCCTCAGAGTCTCCAAAGCAGGAGGGATGTCATCAGGTGCCACTAATCACGCACTTCGATGTGCATCGCTCTTCCTTCTGGAACTTTTAATAACATTCAATTGGTTAAGAATCGAAAAGGTTTCATGTAAAAGTTAAATTTACTTTAAATATGAGACGTTTTCAGATCTATAGTCAGTGTGGTTTTACCCTTAGCGGGTAGCCCTCCTCACTTGAAGGGCTCTGAAATTTTCTAAGACTCTGACGCTAAGTTTTTTTCTTCTTAGAAATTATGTGTTTTATTTCTACGACAGTAATTAAACCTACCGGCATTGTCTTTTTAAAGACAATGCTAACTATGCAATATTGCACAATATTGCGCAATAGTTAGAGATATTAATAAACATGGAAACTTGCACCAAGTTGCAATCGTATTTTCCTACGTTCATTAATTACCCCGGAGACAACAAGCATATGCTAGGATTTGCACAGATTTATTATATATTGAACCAGTAGTTGTGATTTGTGACGTACGTATTACTTTTTCCAGAGTTATGATAGATTGAATAGTATACAGGAGAGTGGGTATCTCTGACGTAGCCCGTTATTTGTTTTAAAGGATCAGAGAGTTCCCCCTGGATTCGTACTCTGCATTCAACTTTTTCAAGGGTTAGTTTGGTTAGACTTACCAACTGATTTGGTACTCCTAAGTCTATCATTGCTCTAAACAATTCTCTTTTATTTACAGAGTCCTAGACTGCCTTGTAGTCTATAAATATGTGGTGCGTGTCTACACCGTATTCCACTGTTTTCTCTAGAATTTGTCTCAGGGTTGAAATCTGATGAATTGTTTATTTACCACCTCTGAAACCAGCCTGGTATTGTCCTATTATTCGCTCTGCATATGGTGCCATACGACGGCACATTATATTGGAGAATATTTTATACACTGCATTTAGGAGCGTAATTCCTCGATAGTTAGAGCATTCTAAGATATCTCCCTTTTTGTGTATGGTGAAAAGTATTCCCATATTCCAATCACTGGGAAGGGACTTCTGTATCCATATTTTCTTTTATAAGCTGCTGTAGCGCTATTATGATATCGTGGCCACCTTCTTTATATAATTCCGCTGAGAGATTATCTATTCCGGGTGATTTGTTTCTGGCTAGTTTGTTTACAGCATCTTTAACTTCCAGGATCGTTGGTGGATCCTTCTTCCTCTCGTTTGCTCCGCTTACCTCACAGCTTTCGTCTTCCGGGTTTTCTTCTTCTTCCTATATATTAAGTATCTGGTTAAAATTTTCCGTATATCGATTGAGTAGGTCAGTTCTTGTTGGTAATAGATCGCCATTCAGAATTCAAAAAGTGAAAATAAGAGAGGCCCTGGGCGTAGACATATATCATGGCTGGCTAATCTTAGGAAGTGGACTGGCCTGACGTCAACCGATCTATTTCAAGCTGCTATGAATAGGATAAGATGGGTCAACGTAGTCGAATTATCTCTATAAGATAGGCACATTAGAAAGAATAAAAATATTGGCAAAAAGATAACGCAAAGTATACCAAAACTAAAAATGTGAAATTATCTTTTTTGTTTTCTGCCTTTTAATAATATTTTTAAACAAATAAAAATCAAATAAAAAATCGAACTCATCCAGACTGTATATAAACAATAGAAAACTATTAACAATGTATGACAATCATTGGAACTCTTAATAAAGTCAATATATTTCGTAAAAGCGGACACCCACATAGCAATATTTCACCTACCGTAATTAATTTCAAAATCTGGAGTCACTTTTGAATAATGTTCCGAATTTCTCAGAAGTTTTGATGTTGTCAAAGATCTCTCATTAGGGGATATTGTATAATTTTTACTTTCATCGGAATCCAGTGTATTGAAAGACATATTCGAGATCGTGCATGTTGGCTCGGCGGCGTCATATGTGTAATCCACAACGTAAATGGATGATATGGTTGAAAGATTTTCGCATCGGATAATATCCAGAAACGGGAACTCATCTATGGTATAATATTAATATAGAATATATTATATATATATATATATATATATATATATATATATATATATATATATATATATATATATACTTATATGGCAAATTTTCAACTACCGTATACGTTATTCAGTGTGTGTAACAAAGATAACACTTAATTATTTGAATACGAGCGAGACACAATCCACTCATGCTGGAGTAGCGAGTCTAACTTTAAACAACATTTCAAAATTTCAAACATAATATTTAAATCCACTACGGTCATTGTAGAATGAAAATTAATATTGCCCCAACAAAACTTACATGAAGTATACAAGTAATTACAGTAACTGTTATTTTTAAACAATTATATCATTACTTGATTAATTTAATTAACAAAGAACAATAAATTGAGAAATTGATATGTGACAATAGCGTGAGCTATGTTAATAATATGGTAATAAATAACACACTTTAGTAGACAGATAGATAGTTTAATCGGCGGAGCTTATTTATACATCAGGTTTATGCTCCATCTATTTGATTTTTAGCTGTGGTGGTTAAAGGTTGAAAACAAGTAATTAACAGGCCAAGCGTATATTTTCGAGAAAAAAAGATTTAAATAGTGAAATAATACTACGAAATCCATTTTATGGTAGAAATATTAGTTATTTATTGCTGCTTTTTGAAATGCCCAATTCGGACAGAGAAATCAGTACGATCAATTATTAAAATATCTTTAAATTTCGGTTGCATAAATACCTGTATGACATGTCGTCCAACGGATTAACCACGATCGAAACAAATCTCTGTTGAACGCGAAGCTTGCGAAATGCAAGTATGTTTACTGCCTTGTTCGACTAGAAAAATTATGGACGAAGTTGACCTAAAGGAGAGAACTGCAAGAAAGATTTTAAAACGAAATGGATACAATTGCTTTAAAGTGCAAACCACCCAAGAACGCTTTGCAGACGATAATTTTTAACGTATAGAATCTTGTGAAACTATGGTGGAGAAATCGAATGAGAACAATAACTTTTTAAAAAATGTTTTGTTTTCCGATAAATCTTAATTCACAATCCATAAACGTCCTAATCCATCTGCCGTCCGCTATTATTATAGGGAAAATAAACATGTGAGTATTGCTGTGAAAACACAATACCTGCTGTGAAAACACAATACCCAAATAAATGAAATATGTGGACTGGACTTTATAACGATAATAAAATTGATCCAATTATTACAAGAAATCTGAATGAATGTAAGTATCTAGATTTATTACGCAATCAGATTATTCCAGCAATTCAAAACCTTGCGGTCAACTTCGATGATGTCTACTTTCAACAGGATGGTTGCCCAGCACATAATGCAATCGAAGTTACAAATTATTTGGAACAAACATTCTCTGGACGATTAATTTTTACACGAGGAACAATTAAATGGCCCTTCAGATCACCAGATTTAGCACCTTTGGATTTTTATTTCTGGGGAATGCTTAAATCAAAATTATATTGGCATGAATTCAAACGAGTCACCAATTTAGGAGAAATTCAAGAAAAGATTGTTCAACTCTGTAATCAGGTACAGCCAAATCAGCTGAATGCAATGAGGCTTGCTCTAATTGATAGATTTGGATTTTATTTAGCGCAAAATGGTGATTTGTTCGAATATTTAATTGTCTATAGAGTTTTTTAGTTAGTTTATTTCTTATTAAAAGATTATTTATGGTATGTTTTGTTAATGTTAAGTTAAGAATTGTTTTATTTTAAAGCTACTACAGCTAAAAATCTACAAGAATTGCATTTAAAACTCGAATATAAGTGTTTACCGTATAAGTTTTTTCTTAAGGTTTACCGACGGAAAGTTGGCGACGAAATAATTGTATGCAAAGAACTACACACTCCTCGTCAGTGTCATAATTACTAAATGCCGGATAGCCGGATGTATCTTGGCGCACCGCACTGTGAGGAAAGACGTTGATTAAAAATTTACAACTGGTCAGGGGAATAATGCGTTGTTCTTCTTCTTCTTCACATGCCATCTCCTCTAAGAAGGTTGGCCATCATGGCAATTCGCACTTTCGACGCCGCTGCTCTAAAGAGGTCAGCAGAAGTGCAGTTAAACCAAGCTCTCAAATTATTCAACCAGGAGATGCGTCTTCTTCTGCGACTCCTTCTACCCTGTATTCTTCCTTGCATTATTAATTGCAACAAGTTATAACGCTCGCCCCTCATGTCCCAGATATTGCAGTTTTATGACTTTAACTGTATTTAAGACCTCTTTAACTTTACCCATTCTTCTCAACACCTCGACATTCGTGGTTCTATCTACCCAACCTATTCTTAATATCCTTCTGTAGACTCATAACTCGAAGGCTTCCAACCCATAAAATAATACGGAGAACACGTAGCATCTCAGAAGTCTTATCTTTAAAGAAATTGAAATGTCCCTGCTGCAGAGTAATTTTTTCAGTTTGTTGTCAGCAAGAATTTCTTGCCTGTCCTATTCTTGTCTTGATCTCTTCTGTGTACTCATTATTTTCATTAATTATTGTACCCAGATGTTTATATTTTTCAACTTTTTTAATTTGTTTTCCATGTATTTTTATGCTTTCTTGGCGCTGTTGGGCTTTTGTAATTACCATAAATTGTGTCTTTTTTGTGTTTATGGACAGTCCGTTTTCTTCACTGACTTCTACCACTCTGCCAACTATTTGTTGTAAATCCTCAAGACATTCCGCTAATAAAATAGTGTCGTCGGCAAACCGTATATTATTGATTGCTCAGCCATTTACTTTTATTCCCATAGTTAGTTCTTCTAGTGCTTCCTCTGAATACAAATTAAACAAAGTAGGAGACAGGACACAGCCCTGCCTGACTTCTTCTTCTTCAAGTGCCCTGTCCGTTGCGAACGTTGGCTATTAACATGGCAATTTTGATCTTGTTTGCGGCGCTTCTGAATAGTTCGACCGATGTGAGCCCGAACCACTTCCGCAGATTTTGGAGCCACGAGTGTCTTCTCCTGCCTGGCCCTCGCTTACTGTCTATTTTTCCCTGGACAATCAATTGTAGCAGACGGTACTTATCGTGTCTCAATATGTGGCCAGATATTCAAGCTTTCTTTGTTTAATTGTATTCACGATTTCTTTCTCCTTTCCGATTCTTTGGAGTACCTCTATGTTGGTGACATGTTCGGTCCAGGATATACGAAGAATGCGTCGGTACACCCACATTTCGAATGCTTCTAGTTTTCTCGTTAGCGTCTCCGTCAGCGTCCAGGCCTCCACGCCATACAGCAAGATCGGAAAAATGTACCATTTAACTATACGTAGTTTTAGGGGAAGAGACAAATCCTTGCTTATGAGGAGCTTTTTCATATTGCTAAATGCTGCTCTAGCTCGTTCTATTCTCGCCTTAATTTCTATGGTCTGTTCCCATTTTGCATTTACGTTGGTGCCAAGGTACACATAAGATTCTACATGGTCAATTAATATGTTACTTATCCGTAATTGTCGAGCAGGTTGTTGCTTTTTGCTTATCAGCATCCACTTTGTCTTCTTGAAGTTGAGGCTCAGGCCGTATTCCTCACTAACTGAATAAAGTCTTTCCATTACTTGTTGTAATTCGTCTATGGTACTGGCAAGGATCACCGTGTCGCCGGCGTATCTTATATTATTCGTTAACTCGCCGTTTATTTTAATGCCCTCATTTGCATTTTCCATACATTTGTTAAATATTTCCTCGGAATACATATTGAATAGGAGTGGGGATAATATACACCCCTGACGGACACCCCTTTTGATCTGCACGCTTTCAGTGAGTTCGTTGCCAATTTTTGCTCTTGCTGTTTGACCCCAGTATAGGTTTGCCACAATTCGAATGTCCTTGTCGTCAATACCTGTCTTTCGCAGAATACCTATCAATTGTTCATGATTGACATTGTCAAATGCTTTTCTAAAATCTACAAAGCACAGATACACGTCTTTATCAACGTCTCTACACCGTTGTATAAGCACCTGGAGAGCGAAAATTGCTTCTCTAGTTCCAAGTGCTTTCCGAAAACCAAACTGCGATCTATCAATATTTGACTCACATTTATCATATATTCTTCTGTGAATGATCTTAGTGAACGCTTTAGTGACATGATTGATCAAGCTTATGAGCCGGTAGTCATCACAAATCTGGGCATTTGGTTTCTTCGGGATTGTAATAAATGTTGACTGTAGCCAGTTCTCCGGGATTTTACCGCTATTATATATGTTGTTAAAAAGTACAACTAGATTGTCAAGGAACTGTTTGTCTGATTTACATAGGATCTTTAATATTTCGCAGGGTACATTGTCCGGACCTGCTGACTTATTGTTTTTTAGTGCTGCAATGGCATCTTCTATCTCCGATTTAAGAATTGAAGGTCCTGTTTCTCCTTCTCCATATAGGTGATCATCAGTCCTGTTAGATGCAAATAATTTTTCTATGTATGATTTCCATGTTTTTAAGATCGTTGATGGCTCCGAGATAAGATTTTCATCGCTATCTTTTATGCTGTTGGGTGACTTATTGAATTTCCTCTTGTTTGTCATCGATTTTATTTTTTTGTGCATATTGTAATTGTCGTATTTTCGTTCGTATTGTTCTATTTCCCTGCATTCGTTGGAAAACCATTTTTCTTTGGCTTCTCGAATTTTCGTTCTTATGGTTTTGTGGATCTGCTGGTATTTTTCTGCCCTGCCTGACGCCTCTCTCAATCTGTATTTCATTTGAAAAGACGTTGTTCTCTTTTACCACAGCGATCTGAGTATAATAGATAGCGCTAAAGATCCTGATCTCTCTCATATCTAAGTTTTTCTTTTCAATTAATGCGTTGTTGCTACACATCAACTCCTTAAAGCAATAGTATTATTTGTTAACTAATTAAATAATTGATAGAATCGATAAGAAAACAACAATTAATTAATATTAATTTTCATTCTACAATGAACTGTACTGGATTTAAATATTATTTTACACTAATGTATCAAAAATTTTA